CACCTACGCTGTGGGGGGCGCTCGTTTGGCCCGGCGTGCGCGACGCAGCTGAGCAGGCAATGTCTGTCAGTTTGTGCGAGCCGCGCCCAGCAAACCGCGTGGTGGCTCAGTTCAGAATGTCCCACTCGCTGCGTGCGCAACGACCCCCGGCGCGATGGCCGACGCGCTGGTCGCGCTCATCGAGAGAGCGGGGGCGCCAGGAGGGGAAATCTTGGACCTGATGGGCACCCCAGAGGGGGTAAGGGCCACAGCTCCCCCAGTTGCCGCTGGTCGGCAGAGACCCGTCCAAGGCAGAACTGAGGAAGGTCGCTTTCCATGGCACCCGCGCCACCCCAGAGACTGCAGTCTGGGTGAGACGCCGCGGCAGGCCTCGACAGAATTGGGTGGAACAGTTGTGTTTGATGATGCGACAGGAAGCTGGGGGATACGCGGGGTGGGACAGAGTCTCCGCCTCACAGACAGAGTGGAAGCAGCACGTGAGAAACGTAGTAGCCCGCATATAGCCAACGCGCTGCGCAGTGCACGGTAGAGGTAGGTAGGTCGGACTTCCTTGAAGCGCTCATTGGCCACCGGTAGCCGTCCTGGAGCGGTCTCGCGGCTTTAAAGAGTCATGTTAGAAGCTATATTGAAGCATCTTGGGCTTCCTTCACAGATCTTGGAGCCTTTCCCTTTCGGAGCCCATTTCTTGATTGCTTTGGGCATGACGGGCGTCATGGCCCCCGGCCCCCCTATGACGTAACGCTCCCCCTCCAATGCGTTCCGGGCATTGCCACCGTGCGCATCGTGATCCGCATAGAAATCCGCATATGAGTCTGGTTAGCAGTCGTCGTCGTCGTCGTCGCCGTCGTCGTCGTCGTCGCCGTCGTCGTCGTCGTCGTTGTCGCTCGTCGCTCGTCGCTCGTCGATCATCGTCGTCGTGCGCGCGGACGCAGCTGGAGCGTGCTTTTTCCTCCGAGCCGATGACGGCAATCATTTGGGGGGTGGAAAGGGGGCCGATGACATCACGTTTCGCGCCTGCGGCGTCAGGGAATGCTTAGGAATCACCGAGGACGGGTAGCAGCAGCATGTTGGTGGTGATCTGCACCACAACGCCTGAGTACACCATGGTGTGCATGCACTACAACGCCTGTGTACACCGTACACCACGCCGCCTATGTACACCACAGCAGCCGCGAGCACACAGCGCCAGTGTTTGCCACAGTGCCTGCTGGCACCACAGCGCTTGTGTACACCACAGCGCCTGCGTACACCACGTGAGCCGTGTGCAACACAACACCAGTGTACACAATGCCTGCGTGCAGCCAGCACGGCACCAGTGAATCGACCATTCTGCGGTTCAGTTGAGACGCGCACGTGCGGTGTAGTGCCGACCCGCACGACGGGGGGAAGGGTGAGGGAGGAGGAGGAGGAGGACGACGAGGAGGAAGAGGAGGCGGAGGTGGAAGAGGGAGGAGGGAAATACGTCGCATGTTATTATCAGCACATCCCTGGCGTGGCGTTTTAACTGTCCGCAGCAGACCCTCACCGACATTCTCCTTCTACCTGTCCTGTGCACGCAGGCACTCTGTTGTACACCAGCGTTGCGTTGCACGCGGATGTTGTGGTGTAGACAGGCGCTGTGGTGTGCACAGGCGCTGCGCTGCACGCAAGAATTGTGGCGTAGACAGGCGCTGTGTTGCATATGGCTGCTGCGGTGTGCACATTCGCTGTGGTGCACACCGGCGCCTTGGTGCACGCAAACAGTGTGGTGTACACAGGCGCTGCCTTGCACACGACTGTTGAGGTGTGCGCAGGCGTTGTTGTGTACACGCGCGCTGTGGTGCACGCGAGCATTGTGATGTGCACAGGCGCTGTGGGGCAGATCGTCACCTACATGCTGCTCGCATCGTCGTCGTCGTCGTCGTCGTCGTCGTCGTCGCTCGTCGCTCGTCGCTCGTCGCTCGTCGCTAATCGTCGTCGTGCGCGCGGGCTCGGCTGTGGTGCCGGAGCCGCACGGCGGTGGGGGGGGCGTTACGTCATACCCCCCCGCCCCGCCCCCCCCCCATGACGCCCGTCATCGCCGATGATAAAGAAACGCGCTCTTGGAGCCAGCTTAAATCCTCTTGGGCGCCCTAACGCGTCGAGGGAGGGGACCAGACCCAGGGGGAAGGGACAGAGAGAAGAAACACCCCCCTCTCGGAAGCGGAAGAAATGGGTGAGAGCATTTACCTCGCTCCGCCACTCACGCCCCTAAGGGCTGGTCAGATTCGCAATCCGATTAAACATTGAAGTGGCACACAAATAAAAGAAAACAGCAAATCACGGCACTGCAAAGTGATTGCGAGTTCATTGGAAGGGGGCGAGGACGGCACGGCGGAGTGAGCGAGGGAATGATGGATTTTTTGTGGAGTAGATGTGAGGACACGAAGAAGCCAGGGGAGCGCTCAGGGTGACCACACATCTGACGCGCACCTCTGTGCAGAACGGCAACATAATATCACAGCGCTGTCGACACGAGTCCAGCCGGGAGCTGTCCTAGAGAGCTTACTGCTTCAGTTTCAGCCGTTGCGCTTGTTTCCAAGGCGTAGCGCTACCCATCAACAGAGCGTGCGCGGAGCGCGCGCGAATGTTTCTAGTCGAATTCTCTCTACATTAGAGAGACAGAGAGAGAGAGTGAGAGTGTAAGAGAGAGAGAGATAGAGAGAGAGAGAGAAAACAAGAAAGAGAGCGACAGACAGAGGAGGAGGAGGCGGCGGAATAGTAGACGGCCAGGGCCTGCGCTTCAGCTCCTCCACTGACTGGGCCCTGGCCGGCCTCACCTCAAGGCCTTCTTGTTGGTACACACCATCATCTCGAATCCACTCAAAGCCGGCTCCCGGATACAAACATTTGCATATATTGTTGAGGCCTTACGGCCGGTGCTGCCGACCCTGAAGGGAAACGACGACGACAACAACGGCGGCAGCGGCGGCAGTGGCGACGACGCTGACATGGACCAGAGTCCTCAGGGATGCTTCTAATGGTCTCTTCTGAAGTCTCTTGGGGACCTCTGGGGCCTCTTGGGAGCCTCTTGGGCCTCTTGGGAGTCTCTTCGGGCTTCCTGAGGACCTCCGTCTTGGAGCGGCAGGAAGTGGAAAAGGCGAGAACGCCCAAAGCTTTCAACAACCAACGGAAACTCAAATCAATGAATTTGGCCTCTTGGGGCCCTCTTTGGAGTGCTCTTGGAGGCGTCTTGGAACGTTCTGGAGGCCTCCTGGACAGTCTGAAGGGCATGAAGGCGCTTTGGACCGATCGTTTGGCGCGATTGGGGACCCTCTTCTCTTGGACCGCCTCGGTGGCCTCTTGGGGCACTCTTGGCCTGTCTTGGTGCTTTCTGAGGCCCCGGGGCCTCCGGGGGGGGATGGGTATCTGACCCCCCCGGGACCCCCCCAAGACCCCCCCACTCCGGGGGAGGGATCAACGGGAAGGGGCTTCCCTTCGACTCGATTACGACATTGCTAGATTTCTCACTCGCTGGCAAGCTTGAGGAGGAGGGTGCAGGGAAAGGGGACGCCAGAGGCGACGACTGAGGGAGACGACGACTCGAACAGACAAGCCCCCCCCCACACACGCCGACAGGGTCGGCGGATTTGCGCGACGATGACGGCATCGATGGCGCCCCATTGGGTGTCACGGCGCAGTGCAGCAAGAGGCATGCCTCGCGGGGCGCCAGCCATACACCAACACCGATCCTGGCCAGGCCGATCCTGGGACCAGGATCGGCGTGCACGCTCTCCTCGCCCCTGTCAGGATGGCAGAGGCGCCGACCGTGGGCCCAGGCGGACCGCTCTGGCCCCTGACTGGTACTGGTGTGTGCAGCCCGGCGCCCTCCGACCTGCCGCCCGTGCCAGGCCCGGCCAGGGCCTGTACTTCTGGTACGTCTTCCCCGGCTCCCCCGCGGACCGCCCCTCGCGCGCGCGCCAGCCTGCGGGACGGAAGCCGGGCTTCCTCCTCGATGCTGGCGCCTCCTGGCGCCTCCCGGCGCCCGAAGGCGACGGGGGGCTTGGGCGCGAATCCATGGGGGGCAGCAGATGAGGGGGGGAGGAGAGTGCCCTATTTGGGCCCCAAGCGCTCCCTTCTGGGCCCTTTGCGGCTCCTTCTCAAGCCCTAAAGGGATCCTTTTCGGCAACCCTCGCTGCCCCCCCATCAATTCGCGCCCAGGTGGGGCCAGTGTATCGAGGAGGCGCCGTCCCCGTCGTGCCGACCCCCGGAGCCCCCCTGGGCACTGGCCTCCTGCGGCGGACCCTCGTCGCTTCCTCGAAGGCAGACTGCGGCCAGCCCTGGACTGCGGCCAGCCCTGGCGTCGGCGTCTGGCTTCTTTCTCAAAACGGAGGATTGCGTCCTGGGAGGGGAACCCGGCCGTGGCGACGAGAAGGCCCCCCCCCCCTCCACCCCCAGGGGGCCACAGAGAGTGCGAGAAGCGTGCAGCATTCTCGACCAGAACTTTTGCCCTCCCCCTCCTTGCACCGGGTCCTCCGGAGGGCCCTGGGCTGGAGCCCTCCAGAGGCAGCAGAGGCTTCCTAGATGGGGCCCGAGTAGATGGGGGCGGAGGATCGCGCCGCGTCGCCGATACATCGGCGAAGCATCGGCGATGCACCTTCGATGCATCGCCGACGTGGGCGATGCATCGGCGACGCCGGCGTGGAGCAAATCGGGCTCCGCATCGCCGCCGCATCGCCGATGCATCGGCGATGCGGGGCGATCCTCCGCCCCCATCTACTCGGACCCCATCACATGGAGGCCTGGAGGCACTCGGCGGCCAAAAAGGGCTGAACGTGATATCATCGAACCGCCAGCTTCGACCCTCGAGGCAGGCGGAGGTCCCCAGAAGCGCCCCAGGAGGCACAGCGAGGGCCCATCACGTTTGACAACATCGAAGCTTTTGCTGCTTCTCGCCCCTCTACGCTCAAGCTTTGGGACTTACGGTAGAGGGAACCAATCAGTAAACAGCCCCCCTGCCCCCCAAGCACGCGCGGGGGAGACTGCGGCCGAGGTGCAACTCATCAGACTCACCGCCAACTTTGAACATTGGAGGCGTTGACAGATGAATGTGGCATGAGTGTTCGCTATTTTTCCGAGGCCTGTATAGAGCAGTCGACGGAACAGGACCACGCTTTCCAAGGGCGGGTCGCATACATTTGAGGATACAGACAGGGGAGCAGCAGAAGCTTGGCGAACGACTGCGTCCGCTGGAGAGTGTGCCTCTGAGTCCTGGCGAGTGAGATTGTGCGACTGAGCAGTGACTTCGGAGTGTTGATCCCCGTCCTCAGACTGGCGAGATCTATGCTTATCCGCTGCCCCTGGCGAGGCCCCAGGAGGGCGTACACACCGCTCCTGGGCCCAGGATGGGCTGGCCAGTCCTCGAGCCCAGAGTTGGAGGTCCGCCGCAGACGCGGGCCAGCGCGCGCCCGCGCGCGTCAGGACACCTTCGGGGTGGCGGCGCCAGGCTGGTTGGTGCAGGCGTCGGGACGCAGGGGGGGGACTCGGGGGGGTCACCAAACGGCGCGGAAGCCACACCGTGCGGTGAGCCGACGGGGATTTTGGTTTGCCGCACGGTTTGGGGGACTTGGGTCGTCCTCCGAGGGCGGCTCGGGCGATTGGGGCCTTTAAGCTCCCAAAGCCATGCAGTGACGGGTGTGCGATCTTTTTGGGGATTCCTGTCACCGCACGGTCTGTCACCGCACCGTTTTGGGGCCCCAAGCCCCAAGAGCAGACGTTCCAGAGGGTGGTTGTGTCCAACCTGACGGGGGTCGGCTGGAGGCCAGGAGATGTCCGGAGGGTGGGTGGGTGGGTGGGGGGGGGGGGGGGCAAAAACAACAGCCCAGAGAAGTAGGAGTGCTGGTTGTGGTGGGGGTCGGGTGGGGGGTCTGGGTCGGTTTCGGGCATTGTCGGGTGGGGAGTTCCCAGCACAGAAATCCAGAGGGGTGGGTCGGCCGAATGTTTGCTGGCATCATCGGATACCTCGCACGCCTGAGGTGTCGGCGGAAAAAATGGTGCACCTCTCTATGTATTTGGTATCTGTGCACATGCTGACCTTGAAGGTCTGCCCGCCGCTGCGACGGGTGCCCCACGCCTCCAAGGTGGACGAAGAGCCGGTCAACACCATCGACGAGCTGCTCGTGGCCGTGCGAGCTGGGAGCGCCCCACGGCCGCCGCCGCCTCGAGGCGTGCGAAGAAACGCACTGACCATGACCGACGCGGGCATCTTGTCGACGCCGATCTTGGTGATGGTTCATGCCGGCCGTCGCCAATGCGCGAGGGTGGCCAACGAGTTGACGCCGGCCAGGGCGAGCTGTGACCAAGATCGGTGCGACGTTTTCGTTTCAAGTCGTGGCCATGGTCCCCGCCTTCTTTCCCTCCATAAGGTTCGAGGAAGTTCGAGCATCGAGGGCGAGAGGACCCAGTTTTTGTTACGCCTCCTCGTTCCGCCTAGATGGGGTCCGAGCAACCGGGGTTGGAGGATGGGGCCGCATCGCCGATGTATCGGCGATGCGGCGGGATGTGGGGCCCGATTTTTTCCACGTCGACGTCGCCGATTCATTGCAGACGTCGCCGATGAATCCGATGTGTTGGCGATGCGTCGGCGATGCGGCGCGATTCTCCGACCCCATCTACTCGGACCCCATTTGGGAAGCCTCCAAGGTTCGATGACCGAGAGCGAGAGGATCGATGGTTTTGGAACTCTGCGGACCTGTTCTGGGCCTCCTGCGCGTCCTCGTCGCCGCTGCTGGACCCGCCTCCAAGTTCTGTCTTGAACGCACTCACTCCTCAGTGGCAAGGATAGGGGGGGATAGGCATAGGGGGAGATGCATCGACCCCCAATCGCCCATTGGTCGCCGATAAGGTCCGGTAGCCCCAACCTGCAGAGGAAGGTGCGGATTCACTATCGGAGGCCTATCGCCCATCAATCGGCGATGTATCGCCGACTCCGGATCGATGCATCCCCCCTATGCCAGTCTCCCCTATCGTTGCCCCTCAACTCCAGGAGAGGTCCAGGGGTCGATCCTCGACCCTCGACCCTTGACTCGAGATCTTCGAAGCTCTCGGGCGCGGGCGCCGCCACCTCGGACAGCCAGCTGCCCGACGAGTGTCGAGAGGGCATCTTTTTATGCGCTTTTTTGCTGTCGGGTCCTGTGTCGAGCTCCTCCTCCTCCCATCCTCCTCCTCCTCCTCCTCCTCCTCCTCCTCCTCCTCGGGCCCACGTATATCGATCATCGAGCCGCCATATACCCGCCGCCGCGCCATCCGTCGCCGTCGTCGTCGATCGCAGATCGAGGTTTCAAGTTCGTGGTTTTGCCGGCTCGTTTGGCAATTCGTGGGCTTCCAGGGTCCAACAGAGATCCCCAGTGGTCTCCGAGTACCTCCTGAGACCTCCAGGACATCGGTCGGTCGGTCGGTCGGTCGGTCGATCCGTCGTCGTCGTCGTCGTCGTCGTCGTCGTCCTTCGTCGTCGTCGTCGTTCGTCGTCGTCGTCGTCGTAGTCGTCGTCGTCGCATCCTCGTCTGTCTCCACTGCGTCCGCCTCCTCATCCTTCCTCTTATTTTTCCTCCCTCCTGTTCCTCTAAAGTTGGTTGTGATGATGCTGAACTTCTAGTACATGAGTAGACCTGGCTTCCCCTCGGCGGGAAGACGACATGTTGTTTCCGAGTATCCGTTCGGTCTTGGTTGAGACCCCACCAGATCTCGAGTACGTCGTCCTGCTAATCGTCGTCGCGGTGGGTTTAGGAAGTAAGTAGCCTCTGAAGGACCCGCAGCGCTAGTAGCACTCTTGACGCACGTACGCCATTCACAGCACTTACTCTGTCAAGCATATACTAGCCACGGGATCACGATCTCGCTCACAAGCAAACAAGGAGCCCACAGGGGAGCCCTACAGAGGGCGTCAACGCGTGCCGCAGAATGATGCATTTCTTTTGTCCGCGGTAGAGGTTCTATCTGCGAATGGGTTTTCTGGATTATGGATGCGAATGTTTTTTCCAGATTGCGCCTACAGGCCGTAGGGCCTACCTACGGGGGCAGTCGCAGCAGACGTAGACAGGGCCGTATGACAATCGTTTCAATTATGTTTCGGAAGCTCCGCACTTGCGAACTATCGTACCTGTTCAAATTCTATAACGTACGTAATGCCTTCGGCACGGGCCATGTTTCTCAGCTCATTAAGACGCAGGTATCCCTGGCAGATGCTGGCCATTCACCCCCAGAAGGCAGTGCTCCGTCTGGATACTGCCGATCGCCCCGTCTGTCTTCGTCCAGGGCAAAAAAGAGCCCGAGTTTCTCAGGGGCACCTTATGTGAATCGGTCATGCGGTTGACTACGAACGCACATGCAGGAGTTCACGTGTCTGCTTCTCCAGGCCACTTGCCCCATGTTCCAGAAAGTTCGAGCTCTTTCCCTCGGGAGGTTCAGCGACGACCTCGTGAGGGTCCTTACCGCCACCGACGGTAAGGTCTGTCAGGCCCTCACCCTCGATTCGATTGATAGCATCATCCCCAACGAGGAGCTCGCGCACGATGGCGATACGCTGACGTGAGCAAGCAAGACACGACCGTGAAGCTGCCCACCACGCAATCAACGCTGTCGATCAAGCGATCATTGGCATTGCAGTTACAGATCCCACTCACCTGGGAGTATATCAATGTGGAAGGGGTTCACCGCACGAAGGACTACAGAACAAGTGAAATCACGCGATGTTCGGTGTTGCTCTCTTTTTCTCTCAATCTCTCCTTTTTTTTGCTCTCCCACCCTCTCCCAAAGTAAACGGATGCCCTTCCTGGCGAACGTTGATGGCCGAGCGTGGCGAGGGCTTGAATCTTGCTGGTTTCTTGCGAGCGAGACGGCTCGCATCGACCGCAGCCTGGAGACGCAGTTCCGATCTCCGGCGCTGGGTTATGCTCAGATTGAATCCGATGAGGGGGCCCGCCGGTCGTGGACGACTCGCCTGGTCTTCGAGCACTGGTCTGTCGCTCCAACCTCGATCGAGTTTCTTGTGCGCAGGCTTTCGTGGTGGCAGGAAGTCGTGTGATAACCGACCACTCCCACCGCCTTGCAGCGATGTTGGTCCAGTCCATGTTCAACCTAACGGTCGGCAGCGGTCACGTCCGTAAGCCTACAGCAGATGACGGCCATTTCAGTGTAGAAGCCAATGTGTATCCCTGTTTTCGTCAGCTTAGGGACGACCTCGAATGTCTTCTCCTGCACCCGATCGGTGAGACTTGTCGTTTGCAGCGAGACCACACCCGTCGTGGCCGACCCCTTTCGAGACGAGGCGAGAGTGTTACAGCAGCCTCGCGCCGCCCGCCTCCGTTGCCTTTTGCGCGGCGCGAGGAAATTCCAGGGCCGCGAGTGGCTCCGCTTTCGCGCCATCGACAGCGAGGCCTCGCGCGAGCCTCCCCCCCGCGGCGCCTCGGGGCAGCCTGTGGTCGTCGCCATCGTCGCTGTCGTGCTCGTCGTCGTCGTCGTCGTCGTCGTCGTCGACACTGGATCGAGGTTTTGAGGACTCGGAGCTATCGGGCTTGTTCTGGCCATCCTCGGGCTTCAGGGGTCATTGGGGCTCCAATGCCCTCCGAAGCCTCGTGATGCCCCCAGTGAGCGGAGGCTTCCACAGGACTCCAGGGACCTCCTCAGACCACCAAGACGTGTGTTGTCGTCTTCGTCCTCGTCCTCCTCGTCACCGTCGTCGTCGTCGTCGTCGTCGTCGTGGTCGTCGTCGTCGTCGATGGTCGATCTTCGAGGTCACAGTTTTTCCGCTGTGTTGGTCTCCTCCTCTACACGCATGAGTATTGAGTGTTCCGTGTATGCCACGTGATTGCCATTGCTTGACGGCTCCGCATTTGGCTTCTAGTTGCCTTCGGCTCATCCCGCCGCCGTGCCCCTGTTGTAGGTCTAAGGCCTGTTGGATGGCTATTTGGGGTCCCTCGGGAGGCCTCACGGAAGCGCCCTGGAGGCGCTTTTGGGGGTGTTTCGGGGCCTCTGGGTGGCCTGTAAGGGGTTTCCTGGGGCCTGGTTTGGGCCTCGGACCTCCTGGGGCTTCGGGGGGGGGGGGGCTTTGGGGCCTGCTGGCGCTCTCGGGGGTCACCAGGAGGACAAGGAGGAGGAGGAGGAGGGAGGGAGGCCCATCCCCCTCCCCCTTCTCCTCCTCCTCCTCCTCTCCCTCCTCCTCCTCCTCCTCTTCCTCCCCCTCCGCCTCCTCCTCTTCCTCCTCCTCCTCCTCCTCTTCCCCCTTTGGGCGGAAAGTGCGCATGTCACTTCGAGTTCCCTTTCTTGGGGGCTCTTGGGGCCATCTTGGGTTATCTTTGCGCTTCTCGGGCCGCCTTTGGAGAAGCTGGCGGCGCAGCTCAGCCAATACGAGACGGTCCTCAATCCACTTCTTGGAGGCGAAAGGGACCCAATCCGCGCGGCCACGAGTAAGAAGATCAAACATATTCGTGCGCAGCAGAAGGCACTTCTCACGCCAGCGATTGCTCACAGGCGGACTGCCCAGTGCCTGTATGGGGCGAAGCAGCAGCGTGACAAGCTGGAGCTTGAGGTGCAGGATAAGACCACGCGGATCGAGGAACTGCAGAAGGCCCTGGAGACTCAGCAGGGGCTCCTGGAGGCAAAGAGGAACGAGGTGCTGGCGCTCGACGCGGAGTACAAACGTATGGCCCTTCAGGTTGCGGATACCACGGAAGCCGTTTTCCAAGAACCGCCCTCATTCTCCATTGCGTTCGAGCTTGCGCCCGAGGGCGTGGAGGATGTGTGCCTGCAGGTTTTCCTGGGGACGGCGGAGTGGAACACACCCAAAGAGATTACCAACGGCAAGCTCAAGGAACCGTTGCCCCAGCGTGCTCAGGCGGGCCGCCCCGCTTCTGTGCCTCCTGGTGAGGACGCTCCTGATGGAGATGATGAGGACGGTATTGACATGGCCGTCGACGGCGACGAGATCGACCTCGACCTGCTCGAAGGGTTATGATATTCCGTCCAGCTACACCGGTAGGCCCCCCAGAGGAGCGCAACGGATCACATGTGGTTCGAGAAATGTACCGTGCCGAAGTACCAGTTTGAACAATGCGCCGCGCCAGAGTACAAGTGTGAAGTTTCAGAGAATCAGAAGTATGGGGAAGGTACGCGACATGTATGAGTATCTCACGAGGAATACAGTCGGTTCGTACTTGTTTCACACTTTGGATCTGGGTTTGTACATTTTCATACTGTTCCCATACTCTTCGCACTTCGGATACGGGCTCTCATACTTACAGATTGTATTCAAGTCACACTCGTACTTCCAGCTTGTACGCGTTTCACACCGAGTCGGTGCGGTTGTGTTTTTCTTGTTCTTTCGGTTCGTAATTTTTCACACCCTCATGTTCTTTACTTGCGCATGTCGTACTGTCCCATACTTAAACCATACTCTGCCGAAGACCAGCGATCGACCACGCTAGCTGGCTTGGGCTCTCATAGCCCAAAGGGGGAGACTTCGGCGAGCGCCAGGCGGCCTTCGCCAAGGCTGGTGAAGGGTTGCGTAAAGCAGCCAAGGGATCTCAGGAGCAGCAGGACGAGGCCAAGCGGAAGTACCTGCAAGCGGCAGTTCGGCTGAGCGTCAAGCGGGCGCGTGTTGCACTATCGCAGCGAGTTTGACGATTTGGAGTGGCCTGAGGTCGGCTCGGTGCCATCAGCCTGTCGGGGGCCTCGGCGAGGCGCCTCGGGGCAGGGGTCGACGGGATCGGCCTCCTCTTCGGGCCAGAGAGGTGCATTCCTCTAGGCCGGGGGGTGCTACCCGGAACAGCTCGGTGCGACTGGGCGCGGTGATTCCAAAGGGCGCGGGGGCCCTGGCGCAGCGTCAGCGAGGCGTTGCCCGACAGCGCCATCTTCGACCAGGGCGGTCTACGCGAGGAACGTGACGGACTGAGGGCCTAAGGCCCGTGAGTTGGTGAAGGGCTCTGGAGCCAATGTGCTTGGCTTGTTGGAGCACCATGCCAGAGGCACCACGTTTGATGATATTCTGTGCGATTTTGATCGGCGCGCGCGCGCGGAAGACCACAGGTGGCCCGGCGCGCCGCTTCAAAGACGTCGACAGCTCTGGGTGGCCATCGTCGGCGCCTTCAGTCTGTCTCGATGGCCACTTGGCCACGCGCCAATATCAAACGCGAGTGCCCGATTGATGAGCGATGGCCGCAGACCCTTGATTACATCCGCGAGTCCATGGCCTTCGTCACGGGGGCGGGCGACGCCATCGAGCTGGGCAGCCATGCTTGCGGCCGCTGGGTCACCGAGGCGAGGCGCTATTCGGCGAGCACCATGGGCCTCGAGAAGGAGGCGCGGGAGAAGTACCTGGGGCGCGGCGCCCCCCCCCCCCCCCAGGGCCCCTCAGGCCAAACCGCTGGGGGCGCACGGCGGGGTGAGCGGCGCCATCCGCTCGGCAGCATGGCGGGGCACCGGGGCGGCCTGCGCGGGCATGTATGCCAAGGCCCTTGCTAAGCCGACGTCGTCGGAGGCAGGCGAAGACGCTTTGCGGATGCTGCTTGGCACTGGCCGCGGCGCGCCCGCCGGCCCCCCCTGGTGATGAGCGCGCAGGTGCAATTCAAGCGGGCGGGCGCTAATTCGACGGGCGCGGATGTGGTCCTGGCGGCAGGCCGGCGACATGGCAGCTGCTCTAGCCGAGGTGGCCGACGAGGCGCGCCGTGCTGAGGTCAGGCAGAGCGCGGTGGCCTTCAATGACTCGGTGATGGAGTGCGCAGCCAAGCGGCCAAGTAAAGTGGTGACCGATCACGGGACTGCCCCTGTCATGGAGGCGGGGCTCGCGGAAACCCCGCCCGAGGCTGGCCATCTAACTCGCCCGACCAGCTGCGACATCGACGCCGTGGTGGAGATCGAGCGAGAACAGCGGGCAGGCCGCTGGGCTGGGTGAGTCACGGCAGACAGTGCGACGTCTTCGGGGGCGAGGCAGGAGGTTGAGCAACGAGCAGGGCGCATGCGCACCCATCGACCCGTCTGCCATCGCTGCTCTGGTGAGAAGTATCCGACGGGCGACGGAGCGGAGAAGTGATAATCTCGCTTTTGCTGACCTTCGTTCTGCACCTCATGAGTCGCCTGCGCTGTGAGCAGCTGGGGGCTTGGCCCGGGCAGCTGCTGCTTGTTCGGGGGGGCCGTGGTGCCCATGCCTGTCTCGACGGGAGTGAGAGCTATTGCACTCTCGCTCTTAGCCCTCCGTGTCTGGGGTCGTCTTCGGAAGCCTTCTGGCGCGAGAGCGTGGCTGGCTTCTTCGGCCAGGCTGTCCGTGGGAGCTCTGCCCTTCGCTGCGGCATGTTGCGATTTTTCCTGGGCGAATCCGCCGAGGCGCTCGGCGTCTCTCATGTCAGTCTGGAATCCGCTCTGGCTTTGGAGTTTCCCGCGACCTCTGCGGGACTTCCCCTGGCGCTTTACGCGGCCCCATCGGCGCATCAGAACCGGAGGGTTCGGCCCCCCGCCCCATCGAGCCCGCGGCCCCCATCTTCGCTGGAGACAGAAATGCGAATGAGTTCGCGAGAGTGGTGCTGCACGATGCGCTTGGGAGCGCGCGCGCGAGATTGTTTCCTAGAGGCGTTGCCTCAGCGCAGCGGGTTGATGGCATCAATTAAAAGGCCGAGGGCCCAGTGCGCGTCGTGACTGAGGCCCTGTCGGGCGCCGCTCTGGACGTCTGTAGAGAGGTGCCGAGCCCCTGGGGCCGCACGTCCCACGGAAGTCGGCGGCGGCTGCCAGCCCCTTGGGTCTCGCGAGTGACATCTCCCAAGCGGTTGTAAAGCAGTCCCATGTAGCTGCGTGATCGAGCCTTCCAGCACGGTGACCGACCTAGGCCTGGACAGGGGCTCAGGTCGCAAGCGACGTCGCAAGCGCGGAGCTCGCGTGGTCATGGGTCTGAAACATTATCACAAGATCGAGCGCGTTTCCAAGGTCGGCCGCTTGCGCGGGACTCGGACAACGATAGTCATGATGTCTCATGTTCCTCGGTGTCAGCACGGCGCCGTGGTGCATGGGGCGGCTTCTTCCGTGGCCTCGTGGCCCCCGGCGCCCACGGGCGCGGCCCGTGGGCGCGGCCCGCGGGGGGGGGGGGGGCGTGAGAGGCAGGTGCCTCGCCGCTTTCTTGGCTGTTTGCGAGCGTTCACGAGCTCCCCGCCGACCCCTCCCTTGCCCGACAGATCCGAGCGAGACTGCGTCTGAGCTGGCCCAAGGTGGCTGGGGGGATCCTGGGGGCCGCGGAGAACCGCCGATGGGCTGGCCCCCCTGGGCTTATCTCTGGGGGCATCGGCGGCGCTGTTGGACCGCGGGTGGCTTCCGCGGGACCCCTGGAGACTCGGGCGGTTGCCCCCCCCCCCCCCCCCCCCCCCCCCCCCTTCTGGTGGCCTTTGGAGGTTCGAGCTCCTTGCCCATGTGTTTATATATATATATATATATATATATATATATATATTGAGTCCGAGACGTTTGTTCCAGAGGCCCCCGCGTCGGTCTGGGCCGCGCTGCGGCGTCGGGTGGCCAAGTTTTGCCGGGGGGTTGGGGCCCGAGGGGGCCTCGGCCCCCGCTCGATTCGTCAGTGGCTTTTTGCGCTAGACAAGGCTCCCAGCAGGCCCTCCGTTTCAGGTGCTCTCTCATGGCGGCGGCCGCGGTTGCGACGTGGCCCAGGGGCCAACTGCCCGAGGAAGGCGCGATCGAGGAGTGCAGTGCTATATGTCGGCGTTGCTTTGCTGGCGCTGCCGAGGCGGATGCCCGCCGCCGTTGGAAGCGCGCTGCCAGCTGTCATCTGCAAGCCTGCGCTGACGCGCAGGGCGCGGGGGAAGGGGCCATGGAGGAAGCCTCCTCCTTTCCAGTCCTCTGGCTGAGAGCCCTGGGGGGGGGCCCTGCTCTTTTCCGTCCTGCCGTCCAGCTGGACAGGTGTCGCCCCGCCAGGTGATGGCCCCATCGAACCGAAATGGTCTTGCGCTGCAGGCGGCAGCTGCACGGACTTTGGGGCGGGGCGGCGGGGGGGGGGGCGACGGGCCTGGCGGAGGCAGTTCAGAGGCTGTGCTTGGAGCTGTTGTGCCATATCGGCTGAGTGTGGGAGCCAAGCCTGGGCCCAGGTCTCCGATGCCCCGGGGATCTCGGGAGGGGTTCCAGGACCCGTGCAAACCGCCAATCGTGCTGAGGTTATGGCGTTCGCTCGGGGGGTGGAGGTCTGCGCGGGTCGTGGGCGAGACCTCCATTTCATCGCCGACTCGAGCTACGTAGCTCGAGGGGTTTCGGCTCGCGTTTTGAAGCGGCGGGGGCGCTCCGGGTGAGGTGCAGCTGACGACCCACAAGGTGGGCTTTCGTGGTAGCGCCCCCAGGGCGAGGCAGGCCAACAGCACGGTTGACCGCCGGGCCGAGGAGGCCACTCATCGTTTCCAGCTTCCATGGGCCGACGCTGATCGAGTTCAGGAGATTGGGGAGCTTGCTAGTTGGATTCGGAAGCGTCCGGTGGCCGTGACTGAAAAGCTTGCGCGCGTGGATCTTCGGGCGGGTACGTATCGGATTGAACGCGCTCCGCAGCCCAAGTACCTTAGAGTCAAGCCGCTTGACCGCGCCCTGTCTGTTGCGTCTCATGACATCGTGCGGCCAGGGGGCCGAAGAGGGAAGGCTGGGTCCCGCTTCCCGTGTCGTCGCTGCCCGGAGAGCCGAGTGGTTGGCGAGTGCTTGCCAAGCGGTGGAGCCACTTGTTGCTGGTAATTCGTTCCCCGTGCCTCTTGGGGCCAGGGTTGCTGATAGAGTCATTCATCTTGGTCGCACGGCTAGAGCCCACGCCCAAATTCCAGTGCTTTGTCCTGTCCCAGTTTTGGGCTGCGTTGTGCGAGGGAGCGGGGTTTTGAGAGGCCCTGCGGTAGAGCGTGGCCCTCCTACCAAATCGGGGTTGGGAAATTTCCAGGCGTTCGAGCGCGGGGCCTGGCCAGGGCACCCCCTGGCGGCCAGGGCCTTTCATCGGATGCAGCAGGCGTAATGTGTGCCCGTGAGCGCTGTTCCTGAGCGGATACTAAAACTCCTCTTCCTCCTCCTCGTCCTTCTCCTCGTCCTTCTCCTCCTCCACCTCCTCCTCTTCCCCCTCCTCCT